CGGGGCCGCCGAGCCCCAGGCGGCAGGGAAGAAGGACGGGGCGTCCAAGAAGGAGGCCCTGACCTCTAAGTCTCCGCAGTCCGTTTCGGCCGAGGAGGAGGCGGAAGAGGAGGAGGAGGAAGACACGTGGTTTCTGAAAGGAGGGAAGGACGAGGACCCGCTGTCCGCCTCTGTTTCTAAGTGGCCCCCCTCCTCCGTCCCCAGGGGCAGCAAATACGCAGACAGGAGCAGCGCGGAGACGGACTCTGCCAGCGCGCCTGCTGCCCCCCGAAGGGGCTCCCCCCAGGAGGAGAGCCCCACTCCCCCGCAGCGGCCTCCATGCTGTCGCTGCGGCAGCGCATGATGCAGTCGCGGTTCCGGAACCCCTTCTCCCGCGCGCCCGCCAGGCCCTCTTTCAGACAAGGTACTGGTTTTGTCTCACCCTCACTGTGGTTTTCAGTGCTGTGCGCAGCGATCCCTGGAAAGCGTCCGTGTTTTCCAGCGTCTGCGATGCTCGGGCACCGGTACGCAGCTTTGCAGATGTGACGGGACTCCATCCTCTTGACCTTCTAGCGGGGTTTTCAGGGTTTCTCCTGGTTTCCAGCTGCGGCGGCTGGGGCTGCGGGGTCTGTGCGGCTGGCCCAGGTCAGACAGCCAGGAGGGCTGAGCCGCAGTCCCAACCCAGCACTGAGTCCCCCAGCCCCTGCCGCTGCACTACCCCACTCGCCCTGCTCTTCACCGGGAAAAGCCATGATCCCAAAGCAGGTTCCTGCACTGGGGCTACTTGGAGCTGTTCCCGTGCCCGGCACATCGGAGGAGTGAGTAAGGAGCTCCTGTGCGCCTGGGCCGTGTTCTTGTTGAGTCTGCCTACAAAGCCCTCACCTGAACACTCGGGGCAAACTCCGATGTCTTGCCGTGAACGGCTTAGACGCTGCACTCAGTGATGTTGTTTAAAACTGGTGGGAAATACATGTTCAAGACAGTTGTCACCTAGAGTTGGAACAGGCGGGTGTGTGATTACATTGAGGGGGAAGGTAGACAGCTGTGAACCGGACTCTACATGGACCCCAGGGCAGGACCTAAGTAAAGTATTTATGTGGCACTGCACTCACCCTGCATGGAGCCAGGGCTTGACAGAGCCTCTCTGAGCGAACACAGTGGCGCTTGTTCATCTGTACAAGGTTTTGTTCGTTTAGCTCAGTGGAGAGACAGAACACGTGCCTCACATTGACGTCAGGGTCCATTAAAATGGACTATCTTAAGCCTAAGACCCCGGTGACAAACAGCTCACATGCCCTTGTACAAAGTACTCAGCACATGTTTAATTTTCATTAACCATCTGAGCAAGAGAAGTAAGTCTGACCTGCAGGTCATTGTCAGGGAGCCCAAGCCCTTGATCCCATGGAGGGGCGGGACCACAGAGCACGCCCAGCAGAGCCGCGGGGACCTGCGGCTGAGAAATGGCGGGAGATGGAGAGGAAGGGCAGGAGACAGGCACAGGCGGACACAGCAACCCAGAGGGACCACAGCTGGGCCTTGTACTTCCTCTCCAAGCAGGTGCTTCCCAAGCGGCCGGCAGAGCTCAGCAAGCCGAGTCAGCCCCGCGCGCTTGTCCTTGGCCGTTGACGGTGGGGACGTGAGTCGGCCAGGGCTAGTTGTGCTGAGTAACCGTGCTGAGGAGAGCAGGACAGCAGCTAGCATGTTTCAGAGACAATTTTCTCCAACCCCCACTCCCTCCAACTTCCAGCTCCTTAAAATAAAGCTACGCCACTCAGGCCTTTAATCTTCACCTGGATAATTTACTTATGCCGAACACTCCCGTTCCTCCACTACAGCCAGAAAACCGTGCCTTTATTGTGCTCTTGACCTTCGTATTTGTCATGTAGAAGTCACAGCTTAGACTGTCATCATCTCATGGACATGAGCTGTTGCTTTAAAGTTCTGTTCGTGTCTCTGTTTGAAATGATGTTAACGCTTATAGATTGGCATGAAGCCAACTCTGTAGGCATGTGGCATTGACCGGGTTCTGTTACTTGTTTCCTGTGCAGGTTATAACGGCAGGCCAAGTGTAGAGGGGCAAGGACTGCCCGGCACTAATGGAAAACCGAGCGGACAGAGAATTATCAATGGCCCTCAAGGAACAAAGTGGGTAGGGTGAACTTCTTTACACATCTCAGTTCTCATGCTGTTGGGAAGAGAAAAATGGTGGACGTTGTGTACCAATAACAAAGCAGTCTTTTCCCTCTTTTTCTGTAGTTTTAACCACTCATCTGTCAATATGCTGTACTATCTGCATTCTTCTAGCGACCACAGAGATCTTTGATTCTCCTGAGTAACTAGTTTTTTTCTCATAGCTAATAAGATGAGGCCAGGGCACTCAAAGGTATGGCTCACCGCAGCTGTGACACAGAACTTGAGGCACAGCCTCTCAAATGAACTTCTATTTTCCCAGTTTATTTTTTGTTTATTGTTTAGTTAAGTACACATATTTTCTGCAAATTGTCTCAAACCCTTTGTCAAAAGGAATTAGAGTGAAAATAAATGAACAAGCAAGAAGACCCTGAATCAAACAGGCAATTTTCATCAGATCACCGTTTGAATCTTCCAATAATTGTTGTTTGTCTAAAATAACAAATAGGTATCAGTATTTGATGTACGTTTAAGTTAAATGACTAACTTCTTGGGTTTAAGATAAATGTTTAGGGATTTTAGGTGGCTTGAGGGTAATGAGAAGAACACTTTATAATATTCAGAGATTTGAAATATTTTTTCAAAGAATCAGAAAAGTATTCATGGTGGAATTCCCAGTCAGCACTTCCCATTTATAACAATAAGGTTTAGGAAAACATATTGGATTTCATGAAATGTTCAGTACAGCTTATTTAAAGATAGTTCTTCTCGTTTCTCAAAGGAACTGATATTTATTCCAAGAAGAAATGCATAGTAAAGCAAATGTCATGTAAACAATTTTGAATTGAACTTTATGGGTAGATTTCAAAAGTAGGGTTTATATCAATGAGCCTTCCTTTAATTACTGAGTCAGGACCCAACAAAGTGGCCTGCTGGCAGGGGCTCCTTCACTGGTCTGAGCATGCAATCGTGGTTCTCAACGTTAGTGTCAGAATCCCTGGGGATTTGCCAAATATGGTCTCAGATATGGCCAGGTAATTTGCATATCTGACAAGTTCCCAGGTGACACTGAGTATGCTGGTCTGGGACCATACTTTGAGAACCACTAGGGTGGAGCATGAAGTTTGTTCCTTAATAGGGATAGCAATACCTTTTTTTCGAGTTTTATAATTCCTTAGGGTATTCCTTTTTGCATACATACTATATTGGGCAATTTAATTCCAAATTAAGTTGTTTTTGTTATATTAATCTTGATTTTTCACATTAACAGTAAAATTGAAGCATATCATGTTTTTAATATATTAGCAATACATGTTCATTGCAAGAGGTTGAAACAATTCAGAAGTATGTGAAAAATATAATAAGCATTCCAAATCACTTTTTAAGGATCATCACTGTGAGCGGTTTGGGATGTAGCCTTTAGATTTTCTCTGCAGTTTTAAGCTTATAGACACCAATGAATATATTTTTAGTTTTGAAAAACAATCATCCCTGTAATCTGAATTTGTATCAGGATATGCCACGATATGTAGAAATTTTCAATCCTTTTCACTGGCTGCCTAGTATCCCACTATGTGGATGTGCCACAGTGTCTTTATCTCTGCCCTCCATCAGTGGACACTTAGGTTGTTTCCTATTTTTCAGCAGTATATCATCGTACTAAATGGTAGTTTGTACATATTTTGTATATTCTAGAAACAAAATAATTTACATGCTGTATGGGTAAGCAATTATAATAGGAAATACAATTGTTTTACACTTTATTCTCATTCAACCTTATGAAGGATGCTGACAAAAATAATGTTTCCTGCTCACTTTAGTATTTCCTTCTGTGGAAGCTTCATGCATGTATTCCTGTAGTTGGGTGAATGTGACCATTTTGAATGTCCAATATAGTCTTTAATCTGTGTCGTGGATTTAGGTGGTGGATCTTGACCGTGGGTTAGTATTGAACGCAGAAGGAAGGTACCTCCAAGATTCACATGGCGATCCTCTTCGGGTTAAGCTAGGAGGAGACGGGCGGACCATTGTGGGTAAGTGCGAATGGTTCTTACGGAACAAAAGTGTCCTGACTTCGCCCTGACTTTTAAGGGGTTCCCTTGGTCTAGTTACTTTTGACCATGTGCTTTTCCTTGGATAGAACTGTCAGCAGTATTTCCAGTGGAATCCACCCTCTTAGGAAAGGTGGCACTCAACTTTGTTCTGGAAATTGGCAGCCTTGAGCAGGAGTCAGCCAACTCCGACCCACTGGCCAAACCCTGCCTGCTGCCTGTTTTTGTATGGCCTGTGAGCTCAGTAGAGTTTTCACATGTTTAAATGATTGTAAAAATAATCAGAGAATGATAAGCTTTGTGACATGTGGAAATGACATGAAATTCACACTTCCGTGTTCACGCACAGGGGCTCGTGGGACATAGGCATACTCGCCTGTTCACGGCGTGTGGCCTTTGTCCCCCGCAGGGCAGAGCCGGGCAGTCACACAGGCAGCTCTGGCTGTAAAACTCCAAGTGCTTCCTCTCTGGTTCGTTAGAGAAAGCATTTGCCACCCCGGGCCCCAAGCAGCACTTTTCCTCCTCGGGTGTAGGGATGAGAGGGGAGAGTCACTCTCCTTACTAAAGACTAAGCGTTGTATCGGGTGATGGGGCAAGGGGATGCATGTTATTAATTCAGACGAAGTAGCCCAGAGTAATGGGCAAGATGGTGAGCCCAGGGATGTCTGCCTCAGCGAATAGCCTTTCAAATGCCCTTTGTCTTTTTACTGATTAAAATACAAGAATAACAAGCTTTCAGGAGACATTTCCACTTGTTTTTTACTTCCTCTGATTTTGTCCCCTCGTTGCACAGACTGTATTTGATCTTGTTTCAGATCTGGGAGGGACCCCCGTGGTGAGCCCTGACGGGCTCCCCCTCTTCGGGCAGGGGCGACATGGCAAACCCCTGGCCAGTGCCCAGGATAAGCCCATTTTGAGTCTTGGAGGGAAGCCTCTGGTGGGCTTGGAGGTCGTCAAAACAACCACCCGTGCCACCACCACCACTACCACCACCACCACCACCAGAGTGATGGTGAACTCTTTATGCAAAAATTTAGAGAGGAGATACTATGGTTAGAATTTCCAAGCGATTTCCCATTCTTGGCGGGAGGGGGACGCCGGGGGAGGGACAAGCCACAGGGGTCAGTGGGGAGGAAGAGC